ACCTTCCAAGGAGAATCCTCCAAGCAACAACATAGCTAGTGACAATAAGGGACAAAAATTCATACATCTGCATACCATGGCCCTCAGAAGATAATATCGTTTTATTTGTCTTTTAGAACTGTTCACACAACTTCACAATCCACAACTTAGTTTTTTGCTGGATCTAGAAAGTTCATAAAAGTAGACCTAGAATATCTAGAAAGTTCATGATAATGTAATTATCTAGATATTTGGTTGAATTTAAAGAATAAAAGTACATAATAACTAGAAGAAATGAAAGAGGAGTTAATTCAGTGAAATACTGAAGAAGAAGGTGAGTAAAGCGTTCAGTGAATTATTCATATTAGCATTATTAGTGAGAATTATCGCATATATTCAGTTACTCATTTGACTAGCAATAAAATTACCTCAATCTTGTAGTTGTAAGTCAGGTATCATTAGGTAGGAATTTCTGTGATTTTAGGCCTACAACTTGTTTCAAAGTGAAAGTAGCTTAAAGAGTTGTTATAAACGAAATAAACTAATTAGTTGTCTTTAGGTGTGCTGAGTTTCGCAATATTTATATCCATAATCCAAAAGAACTTTCCCAACGACAGGACACGTTACAACAGAAATTGCTCAGTGATGACGCGCATGTAAAGGATAAGTTTCAAAGAACTAAAAATAAGAAACCTGAAAAGTTATCACACGAAAGCACGAAAGTCACGTTTATATTGAAAATACTATCATAAATCTACACTGACACTAAAGGCAGAGAGCACCTAGAAAATATTACATATGTCATCCACTTACTTATATGATGAATTAGCCTTGCTAATATTTGACGTAAATCATATTTTACTGCTTTTTCACAACGTCTAAAATACAAAGCAAATAAAATATTTAATTTGATTGTATTATTTCATCTGAAAGCTTAGTTTAAATTCTGGCCTTGCGAATACAATAATCAGAGTTCTGTCCATTGACACTGCCGCTTTTAATGGCGATTTGTTATAGTAAGTTTTATTAGGTTCAACAATTGTTTTGCTAACAGGTAATTCATTAACATACATATAAGAGAACATATAACTGGTTCTTTTAGAAACTTTCAATGGATGAGCTTTTGTTTGCGTGAATATGAACCAAAAACACGTTAGTGGACAATAAAATCAAAGATTTATAATTTATCTTACTTGGGCGAAAGGTTTGTTTGTTTGTAATTAAGCACAAAGCTACACAATGGGCTATCTGTGCTCTGTCCGACACGGGTATCGACGCCCGGATTCTAGCGTTGTAAGTCCGCAGACATACCACTGTGCCACTGGGGGGCGGGCGAAAGGCATCGTCAGCAGTAGATATGGCAGATATATTGTGATTGACAAATTGTTACTTATTCTTCTTTGCTTTCATTCATAAATTCTTTTTAAAATCACGAATAATTTTTACACAAAGAAAGACTGTATAACAGTATTAGTGCCAGATTCACACTACTAGTGTCGAGCTTCGTTTTAACATGTTTAAAACACTTTCTACTGCAATACAATATGATGAAATATTTCAAAACAATTAAATGTGATGAAAAAAATCACGCTTTAGTGCAGATATTTTCATGACTCTAGTTGCATAATTAAATATTCAAATCAAAAGTCTGGTACAAGTCATTACTCAAAATATTTTTTGTGATTAGTACCATACTAAGTATAATAAAATTCATTGGTTCATTAGAAATATTTTTATCATATTCGTTTTAGTTAGTCTATCGAGAAGTCTAAGCCAAAAGTGTAATACATTTAAAAACTGCACCACCTAGCTAACAAGTATATGCTGTCAACATACAGGATTTTATATTTCTAACATGTTTCAGTCAGTTGCAAGACCAGCATAGTTAATGAACTAAAAGTTCTAGGCAGTGACTCTTGGCATAGAGAAATGTTCTGTTGTTTGATCATAACACAAAGCAAAAAAGGTTGAAATAATGAAATTAAACATTAAAATTATGCAATTATAGGTGAATTTTAAAGTTGAAGATTATAATTAACCTTTTTGTGTAACTGAGATTCAGCAAAGGTTTTTACATTTATGTAATTTAACTGAAACAATAGTTCCAAAACTTTCATAACCAGTTTTAACATTTCCACACATTTTCCTTGTTCTATAATCTTGCATTAAAGGAATATCAACGTTTAAACAGTTCTAATTAGAAAAAACATTTTCTCCAAACTAATAAACTGTTTTAGTTTAATGTTTTACTTAGGTATTTTTAGATTTTCAAATTTCTCTTTACAAAGAAATTTTTGATTTTGTAGGATCACAGGCTTCTCTTTAGTATAAAAACTATGAAAACCACTAAACTTTTGAATGTAATGAAATTTAAGATAACAATTTATAGTTGTAGTAAAATATACAAGTTTTAGTTTTTCTTTTGAATTTAATTTAAACTCCGGGTTATAAAATAAAATTATTTTATTACGATCAATTTAAAATAAAAATCTAAATAAAACCAATCGTTAAATTAAAAGCAACATTATTTTTTTTTAATGTTAAGGTTGAAATTACTATAACACAGTAAAGAAGTGATTCTAAATATTAAAAACAGAATGTTTCAAAATATTCGTAAGATTACATGATCCATTTCAGAGAAAACGATTTGTTTGTTTTAGTGTAAAGCCATCTGTGTGGTGTCTAGGTAGGGACTGAGATCCAAATTTTAGGGCTATATATCCTCAAGCTTTCCGCTTGAACCACCGAGGGACCACATCGAACAAAGCTAATAGCTTTTCACAATGATTAACACAGTTGGTATTAGAAGTTAAAGGCTATTTTCTTTATAAATTTGCTTTAACTTAAAGCTCTATGTTTATTTATTAAAAGTGTCCCCCCGATGTACCATCGTTTAAGTTTACGGACTTACAACGCAAAGATCGAGAGTTCGATTCCCAGCAATAAAGAAAGCGCAGATTCCCTGTTGTTTAGCTTTACCCTAAAATCAACCTACGAAGAGATTTAAAAAAATTGTTATTATCGACATGTTCCCCATATGGCAAAAATGAATCATGTCGTTGTTTTTAAATGTATTTTTCATTATCATAATCTCATTATTTTTCCCGTAACTTGTTGCAAAAGTTTGCAGCAACAGTTTTAGGCTTTTACATAAGTCATGAATACTACAGTATTTCCTTAAAAATTATATAACGATATAGCAAAGTAGGATCGTAAGAATCAATCAGGTCAATAGTGGTCTCAACAATCGCACAATTTCAACAATCAGTGGAAGAATCCGTTTAAATTCATAGGTCACTTCACAAATAGAGCAGAATATAAAAACAATCTGTTAGATGTAAAAGACAACCCATACATTGCACATGAATTTGTAAGGTAGTTAATTTTGAAAGATAACTCTTTTACGAATTGTTCAGAACTGTACTCAGGCAGGAACAGCTTGTGAAACAAAAACTGTCGCGCACAAGAAGGTGTCTAATTCCAACTTTTAATACGAAAGCTATTGGTTTTTTTCTTATATGACAAAATAAGTACCATGTACTCCTGAGGACTGGGCAGCTCGAACGTCTGACCAGTTGGTTTATTATAGTTTGTGAAAACTAAGTTGCAACCATAAGTGAAACTTGTCTTACTATTTTATTATTTTCTAAGTAGAGTTAGGTCCACGTGTTCTGTAATTGTCGATAAGTGTTCCTGCTTGTTCTTTTTATCTTAAATTATTATCTTATTACATCATGGTGATACATGCCAAATATAAAAGGGCAGTACTGTAAGTTTTCAACTCACGTTCGCATGAGTCATGTTTATCTTATGTCAGTATTAAATCTATCTTTCTGGTAATTATTATGACAGGACAATGATTTTCAACTTATTTATATTTGCCATTACTAAGATTATTACTGAAGAAAGTTTTGCGTATTCTGCTTTCTGTTAACGACAGTAGCTCAACATGAAATATACCGCTGTTCTTGTAAATCTTAAAGTTAGCATGTTTAAGACTCTAGAGATGAGCAGTTGTTTGAGTTATGAAACATTTGCGCAGCATTTGTTATTGGATGTATGAAAACTTTAAATGTTACTACTCGAAATATTTTTTTAAATTCTGATATTTATTATTTCGTTTGTTTTTAATATCGCGCAAAGCTACACGAAGGCTATCTGCGTTATCCGTCCTTAATTTAGCAGTGAAAGACTAGAGGGAAGGCAGCTAGTAATCACCACCCATCGCCAACTCTTGGTATACTCTTTTACCAACGAATAGTGGGATTGACCGTCACATTATAGCACCCCCAAGGCTGAACGAGCGAGCGTATTTGGCGAGACGAGGATTCGAACCACAATTTGGGAGTCTAGCATCCTAACCGTCAGGCCATGCCTTTGATATTTGTGAAAACAATGGTAGCTGGAATTCTTTTATCGCGGGCTACCCAGTGGTACAGCGGTATGTTTGCGGACTTACAACAATAGAAACCGGATATCTGTGGTGGGCAGAGCACAGATAGCCCATTGTGTAGCTTTGTGCTTAACTTCAGAACATACAAACAAACAAACTTTTATCACGGAAGTTTCATGTATATACTACTAAAGTAAATTCAAGTTGTAACGATTTTTGTTGAACCTTTAGATTACCAACGTGAATACATAGCGTATCCACATTTTATGTTATTTCGTGGCATAACTGCGCCATTTCATTATTAAGAACGTTTTACAAACTCTTACATTCTATAAAAGTTCTGTGGATAATAATATTAAAAACTCTTTTCCCAAAACTTGGGAATAAAGGGTTAAAATATTTTCGAAAGATTAATAAAGTACAGAATTGGAAATATTTTTTCTTGTTATTTTTGAAATTTTTCAACTGCTTACGATTTTCAGAATAATTAATAAGCGACATTACTAAAATTTGGAATTTAAGTGAACTATATGTAGAACAGTTAACTTGAAATAAGAGTATAAAAGTCTACAAGTAAATGCTTATTTCCTATGATTCAAACATACTCACAAACTGAATTAATACTTACGGTGTCCATATCGTAGGCGAAGTCACCTAAAAAAAAAAGATACCATTGTAAAGTATTACTGCCACATATACAAGGAAAAAACAACAACAACAAAACTCGACAACTTTACCAACTTTACTTTTTCTTTTGATGTCAAAACTTATGTAAATAAAGGAGTTCAAATAATTTTACTAGCAAACACTACAAACGCCGAAAAAAAAAAAGAACTCAGTGAAAGGAAAATGTAATTGGAAAGATCTATTTGTCTATTTATTTACCCACGATATTCATTTATACTCATATCAATAAACGTATTTTATGTCCCAGAATGTAAATGTATAAATACGTACAATTTCTCCCAACGCAATATGGTAGGTATGATTTCTGTCTGTGTATAGAAATTTAACATTTATACTTAATTTGTTATTCTAAAGGAACTGATAAGTATTACTAGTTAATAGGTTTATTCGCTGTTTTCAACTAAATGATATTTTATACGACACACAGACTAAACGGCCAGGTCAGAGACTCCAAATTTTATATATGACCGTCCTTAATTTAGAACTACTAACTAAAGGGAGGGTAATCAGTCAGCAGTACCCGCCGCCTCATCAGTTATTTGTACCCTAATAGCGGTACTGATTGTTCTTACTTTTATCATGTGTACACAGTTAAAACATGAAGCCTATTCAGCGGCATATCTGATTGGTAGTCTGGCACGTAAACCACTAAGCCACCCTCAGCTCTTTGCCGATAATACATATTTTACCTTCTGCTAGTGACGAACTAACTGTACCAAAAACGTCTTGAGTTACCTGCAATCACTGTTTTATCCATCTTATAATTTCGAAAAGCGAATTCAAATATTATTACAATTAGCAATTTTTTTTTTTTTACTTTGAGAAAATCTTAGATACCAACATTTATAAGCCTTTGAAAACACGCCTGATTCTCTACAACTGGTATTATTTTTTGCATATAAGTATATATACAAAATAATCTTCTTGTAAGATTAATCTATTTATTCTGATTTAGCACACATTTTAGCATAATCAAAAAACGCATTTCATAAAAACAGGAATTTTAATCTCTAAGTGCACATTACAGTTAAAATAAGTTCTTCATGCTTCATATGTAGAGAATCAATCTTTTATCGCCACTCAACAGTCTCACAAAACATTGAACTGGTTTTAAATTTGGGAATAATGAACAAAAATGTAGACTCTACATCACATCTATCAGTCAAGCTTGCTCATGAGCTCTTCAGTAGACGAAGGATGTTTTAGTACATCTAAAATACACGTGTTTTACACTAGATTTGTTTATATATACGAGTCATAACTATTACATAATGCCTAGTTATTCATAATATTACTGCTAAGAATTGCCAATAAATCAATGTGCACATAACAGAACCAAATATTTTTCTAAAGTAGGTGTGGATTTGCTGATTCCAGAAAAACCTTTCCAGCAATAACTTTTCTGATAGAAGATTAGCTCCTTCATTTTATGAATAAAATCTTGGGAACGGTGAAACAATCTCGGTGCAAATATACGTGTGACAAAGAATCTACTGTATTGTTGTAAGTCATGTTTTCAGTATTCTAATTTAGATCTTTTTATTGCTATAGAGCGTTTTTTGGGGGGTGATATATAGGGGTTTGGTGACGTCTCGAATGTTCGTGAGGTGTGGGGAAGGCAAGAACAGTAATATGCGTTAGTTCATTTCTTAGTCAGACAGTTATTCAGTGAAAAAAATTGTCAGTGAGTGAGTTAAAGACAATTATTTCAATCAGGAGGTCAGTTAGTCGATTAGTAGTTAGTTCGTTGATCTGTTACCGTATTATTGATGGATTAGTGAGTGCGTTAATCAACCAGTTCTAAGATGTATCGTAATTAAGAGAGGAAATTTAACAAGTAAGTTAGTTGTGAGTTATGCACGCCATTAGTTTCGGAATTTCTGTTGAAACGTTTTTCTGTGAAGTTAGGCCTACCAGAAAATTTAGTTATAAATTGTGGAGCTTCTTCATTGTAGTTGGTAACAAACGCTCCCGTTTAATTAAGTAGACTGACTTTTGCTATTTTTACCAAATAATCAACGAAAGAAAACATTACAAAAGTATCCATGAAAGATAGCTGAAATGTTGATAATCGAAGATAATAATAATACTAGTGACTATCAGTATCATGTGAGTGGATATACGCCTGAGTAAAAACAATTGAATAATGAAGCGAAGGTATAAATAAATAGCTTGATTAAGTGTACAATTGAAAGATAACATTATAATATTAACACAAGACTTATATTTGAATTTATTATCTGAAAATAATCATACTTGATATTGTAATGACTTATACCAATAGGTCTAATATTTGTAATAAAAATCTCGTAAACTGTAGTTTTTACATACCATTTAATTTATTTATTTTGCAAGACTTACGGTAATGTATAAAATACCTCTCAGGAATGACTTGTGCGAGACTAAAGATAGACCTGAAACGCTGTTTGCATACGCCTATGATATGAAATCGAAGTGAACAAATTAGAAGAAACATGAGAGAGAAAAAATACCTGCAACGCACATGATTTTTGTTACAAATGTTAGGTTTATTGGTTTCCAATGCTTCGCTAACTTTCTGCATTTAAACTGTAAATATTAACTCCTGATACTACATGTAATGAATAGGGTTTCAAATAGACATTAGTATTTCATTGTATAGTCAAGCTGGCTAGTTCTGGTATGTAGCAAAAGGCCTTGAGGGCAATGACTTCTGAGAGACTAAAAATATATCTTAACTGCTATTTTCTACACAGAACTAATTTTAAATCTGAATGGACAAGTTAAGAAGTACACGAAGAAAAACTGCAGTTTTCAGTTCGTATTATCTTTATTACATATGTTAGGCCTATTATAAAGACTTTATTAAATAATAATAGTGTTGCGTCATCGAGATCACGTGACAATTCTCACGCTCTCTTGTTTCTAGAACTATCCCGTATCTAAAACAAACGGAGACGTAACAATAGAGTGTGAAAAACATTTTCTTAAAATGAAAACAACAATTTTGATATGGCTAGAGAGTAAAGATAATTCGACCAATTAATATTCTTATTTGTTTTTACAAATATTTTGATTAATTTCGAGTTATTTTGTGAATACTATTGTAACGTGTTATATCGGTGGGCGGGTTCTTTTTGATTATTTAGTAGCTATAACTTGAGATCCAGTCCACCTAATAATTACAAATTAGTTTATTTCTTCCCCTTTGCTACAGGCTATTTTCACTTGTAAGTTGTAGACTAAGTGCACAAACAACGTTTCAACAGAAATAGACCAGGACACGATTTGCCTTATATGGTGTGTCAAGATCGTCGCGAGAACGAGACTGAGCATATTGACGAGTAAACAAATCATATTCTCTTCATTACATAAATCATCAGGCTCTTAAATATAGAGATTCACACACAAATATAACTTATGAAACCTCATTCCTTTCAAAGGTAAGGTTTAATAGTACATTTGTTTCTTTTAATAGGGAAATAAGTGGGATAACTATAGCCCTATAGGCGATAATAGAAGCTAGTTAGGTCGACAATATGCTATAGTTAACAACCAGCTCTGTATTTTACATCTGGCTGTATATGAACAAACCTATTCCATATAACTGTCCTTTTCATTATATTCTGAAGTTTATTTTCCAGAATATATTTACAATTCCTAGGACTTAAAACAGGATAAAATACAAACATAGGAAAAGGTTACTGCTTACGTAGATGAGAGTAAGGGCGTATATTTGATGTATCTGGATTTTCAGATAGCATTTGACAAGATGCCACATAAAAGGCTTGTAAGAAAATTATCCACTGATCAACCATTACATCAAGATCCCTTTCTTTCATGACACTGTTAAGGTTATTCCCATCCAAGATATACCTATAATTCAAATTATGAAAACCTACATGCATTATCTTAATCAAAACCCATCTGCCATTGATTCACCCTACTCACTAAATGATCTAAATCCTTTTGTAAAGCAACACCCAAAACCTTAATATCATCTGCAAATTTAAGTATTTTATTTACCATTCATCCTTCATCTATGTTATTGATGTAAATCAAAAAAAGAGCAAAGGTCCTAAGACTGAGCCCTGAGGTACCCCACTTGTAACATTAAGTGAATGTTGTTGATTAGCTGCCTTCCCTCTAGTGCAGATATTCCCAACCTTGGGTATATGTACCCTCAGGGGTACATTTGCACTTCTCAGGGGGTACATAGGGTCTGAGAGTATAACCATGGTTTACACTTTACATGGTGTTTTAATCTACAGTCAGACAAAGAGAGCAAAGTGGCTCACATAAATATACGCTCTTTAGACAAAAAGTTGTGATCATGGTGAACATTGTGATGTTATTGCTGTGCTACATTATAGCTCATGTTTTCAATAAGCAATAAAGAACACCCTCGTTACAAATCAGCTAATAAACTAGGGATCAGTCAACTGGGCAAGCTCTCCTCCCTCCATTAGTGTTTGGGAAAGAATGCCCAAGGGGTACAGAGGGACAGAAAAGTTGGGAATCCCTGCTCTAGTATATGAGCTCAAAATTATGGAAATCTAGCAGAGACAATGGTGTGTAGCTTTAAGAAATATCCGGAACAAACCAAATTATCAACAAAATTATAATATGTAATAAAACATAGGGTCCATAAACTAAATACGCTTTTTAAAGTATTTATGCATGAAATTCCTTGTAGATCCATGATTTTGTTAGTTATAGTGCTTCTAACAACATAGAGTCAAGAACAAAAAATTAAAGAAAAACATTTTCAATATTGCAACTAATTCCACTAAGTACTACTAGAATCTCCTGTGCACTTTAAATAAAGAATGAGTGATTTAATCCAATGTTTGATTAGTTCTTTATATTGAGTGTTTGGTAGGCAAAAACTCGTGAGAAAAAATTGCTTAATATGGTACATTATACGGACTCTACTGGGAATGAAGGGCATAAAAAAGTCGATAATTTGATAATTAAGTGTTACCTAA